AGAAAAGTGACCCATGAGCTGCTGCTATTTTCAGATCCTCTCTTCCCAGAATGTCCTGAGGACTTGATAGCTTGTTTCCTTATGGAAGTCTTCCCTGGCCACCTGCCCAGCAGCCCTGCCAGAAATGGTACCCCTCCCCTCTGAAATCTGATTCTTGTCCTGTACCTCTCCTGTGGGTTTTCCCTTGATTGATCAATTGACTCATTCATTCTCTCTTTCAACAGACATAAATTGGACACCATTCATCCATTTGACAAGTTTAAGCCCTTACTATGTTCTAGTCACTGTTTTAGATCCTGGTGTTTCAGTAGTGAATGAAACAGATGAAATCTCTGCCCTTGGGCCAGGGATGTGCTTTGGTGGCAGAGCACTTGCCTAGCATGTGAGAGACCCCTAGGTTTGATCCCTTGTGCTTTAAAAAAAAAAAATTCTACCATCATGGAGCTCAAACTTTAGTAGGAGGAACAAGTGAAAATATAGCATGGAAAAGGATGATAAATGTTCTGGAGAAAAACAATCAGGAAAAGGAAGAGGGGATGCAGAGAAAGGGGAGGTAGATTTTAAGTAGGGAGGTCAAAGAGGCCTAAGAATCAAAGTGACGTCTGAGCAAAGACCTTGCGGGAGGTGGGGGTGTGAGCCAGATGTCTAAGTGAGGGAGGTGTATGCCAGGTAGAAGGACATCGCTCAAAGACCCAGAGCTGGGAGCGTGCCTGGTGTGTTTCAAGAATAGCAGGGAGGCTGGGAGAACGTGGTAAGAGATGAAGTTGGGAAGGAACGGGGTGGAGAGACTCTGAAGAACTTTGGCTTTCACTCTAGTGGATGGGGAGCCCCCCACAAGGGTTCTGTCTGGAGGAGCAACAGGTCTGACTAGCATCTGGTTAGGAGGCTCTGGCTGCCATGGGAACAGGCTGAGGGAGGAAATCATAGAAGCAGGCCAGGGGCATGGGGCAGTGTGGGAAGGCCTAACTTCTGCCTAACCTCTGTCAGGCAGCTACATAAACAAGGCAGGGTAATCTCTAGGGAGAGGAAAGCTTGGGGTGCAGGGTATCTAGAGTCAGGGTCAAGAGAAAAGCTTGTGGAAGACTGGAGAGAGTGCCAGAAGACATTTTGCAGGGTGGCCACAAAGGGTCAGAAAAACGTCCCCTGTTGCTTTAAGCTCTGTGTGTGTGTGTGTGTGTGTGTGCGCGCACGCTCGCGCCTGCGTGCGTGTGTCTTTGTCAGGACAAATTTTTCAGTTGCCTCTGAGCTAGACAGAGAGATTTAAAAACCAAAGCCTCTGGGCTCAGTAATTCCTAAAACCTCTGTAATTTGCCTACCTGTCCCTAGTTTGTGCCCCAGAATACGTTCTTCAGTGACAAGTCTAGATGTCAGGGTATGAGAGGCTGAGAATCCCTTGTCCTGGGTTCAGGTTTCTGCTCTTCAACTTAACTGGCTGTGTGACTTTGGGTGACTCAAGCTGGCTTTCTGCTGGTTTCCCCACCTACAAAACAGCTGTGGTAACTATCCCTGCCAAGGGCAATGGAGACAGACACTGGCTATAGGGGGAACTACAGAGCCTTAACTCTGAGGACCCCTGAGCCAGAGAAGGTGGGCTGCTTCTGAAAACTTCTCCTACCCTTCCTGAGAGGGAGGGAGTCTCTGTGAAAGTGTAACTCCCACCCCACCCCATGGCTAGTCGTGGAAACCCTCTTGAAGTGGGCCGTTAGTTTCCTGGCTAGGTCCTAAGGCAAGAGAACTGAGGAGAAAGGGCTGGATCCAAGGGAACTGATGAACCAAAAAAGAAGTAAGGACAGACAGAAAAGGATGAAAGGAAGGAGATGTTAAAGAGATGGAAGCAGGTCCATCTCAGAACGTCAGCTAAGCAGGGATGCAGCACAGAAAACAAACATGTAGCCCTGGTTCAAAGTCAGGCTCTGCCACTTACCAGCTGGGCCTTTTCCAATCATGTGACCTTTGGGTTGGTGGGTGGTTCCTTGAGAGGAGGAGCAGGAGTACTGTGGAGCTGTCTAGCCTTGAAATTCTTAAATATTCAAGTAAGTGAAGTACGGGAAGGCTCTGTATGAATAACTGTGCTATTATTATCATGCAGAAAAGAGCTCAGGAAGATTCCTCAGAGTGAAGGAACAACCAAATTCAGGGAGTTCGCCGAGCAGCCGGAAGTGCAGCACACAGAGTTCCATAAGTGAAAAAGCCTGAGAGCTGATTAACAAGCACCTCCATGTCACAAATCTCACGTGTTCAGCACTGGCAGAAGGCAGGAGCAGGGGGAAGAGTGCTCCGCACTGTTAAGAAAAATTATCGTAACTTGGAAAAAATGCAAAAGGAGGACTGGGGTCCTTCAGCGTCACTCTGGGACAATGCTGAACAGTGAAGTGCTATTTAATTACTAAGGGGCATGTACCTTTGTTTAATAACTCACTGTGGATTACAGCTCAGATCATGTGAGGCCCTGTACTAACTCATGGATGCCTGCACAAGTATGTGCGTGCATGTATGTGAAGATGCAAAATATTTTTTTTTTCCAGGAAAGAACCACAAAAATGATGGTTTTATTGCCCAGAAGACATTGTCCAGCAGAATCTCTAACTTAGCAAACTTATTTCAGCATGTTTTTGCCAACTAGTTATACAAATTCCTGTCTCTCAAATGTTCTTTTCAACCAGCTTTGCATTCTTTTGGTCCCCTTATTAGCAAATGAAGAAATTATTGACATGATTTTTAAAACATTCTCTGACAGAACCACAAGTGAGGAACTAACTCTGCTGTGCTGTGTGGCTTTGGGCCAATTACTCAGCTTCTGAACTTGCCAATCTCATCTGCCTTATAGAGGGTACCAATGTCCAGCATTGTGGTGGTATGAATGGGGAGATGGATGTGAAAAGACTTTGCACAGCATTCACAGGATACAAAAGTCAGGGTTTATTGTTAAGACTTATCAGACTAGGCTGTTCCAGGGTTGGAAGGTCCGAGGCTTCTGAGGGTAGCATTCTCCAGGCTTGGGATATAGGTCAGGGGAAGAAGCTGCGAGGCTATCTGACACTAGGCTCCATGCCAATGCTGTATTCTTCACTTCTGATGAGGCCAAAAATTCCCATGGGTCTCAGGTCCGGACAACAGAGACCACTCAGGACCACTCAGAGAAGTCTGCCCAAGTCCACAGATGGGCTGAAGGGCTGGGCAAGCATCTGCCCAGAAGCCAGAACTGGGTATTCTAAAGGAGGACAAGTCCTCATCTAGTACTACCAGCCAACAGCCCTAACCAGTGGACCCTACAGCCTGGGTTCTTGCAAGCCCTCATCATTTTATTCTGCAAGTGAGGAAGTGCCCCAGCTCAGTGATAAGCACAGGATCTCTGCCCTTACTATATCTGTGCATGTGTGTGGCTACACACATGCACGCACACACACACAATGGTGTCACAGCCAGGGGTCCGTTGAGCAATGCAGGCAGCCAACATCAGGAAAATGAGGAGCTGGATCAGCCAATCCTGCAGAGAGGAGATGGGTACAGAGCTGACAGAGGAAAATTGGGAGGACAGGAGGGGGAAAGGAAGAGAAAAGGGAAGAGAGGAAAAGAGGAGAAAGACATTCTAGGCCCAGGGAATGGCAGGAGCAGAGGCTAGGAGGAGACAGTTGGAACCTGCAGAATATAGTGGAAGACATACAACCAAAGAGATAAGGCAGGATTGGGCGCATACCTTGAGTGAAGTCATGGGGGTTAACAGTCCACTGTCCCTGTGGTGATGGTAAAAAAGGGGATTAGCAAGGGGCTTACACCTGTGTGCCCCCTCCCCCAATGTTCCATCTCCCCAAAGGGAAAGTAGGAAACCCTTTCTCTCTTCCACAGCTCTCACTCCAGGCTAGGCTGTTTTGTCTGCTACAAGTTGGCTCAGTCTCACCCCATCCCTAAAATATCTCCATCGTCAACTGGTTGCCTTAAAGGCTGGGTTCTCAGAGATTTACCATATACTCCGGTCTTTCCCCAGCTCTCTTCCTGAGCTCTCAGTACCTATGAACCAAACCTCTCTTTTCAAACAGTATCTTATCTGTCTCCTCCTTGCAACTTGTATAATCTCCACCTTCCTAAATATATCTCTTCCCTTCCTTATTTTTCCTTTACCCTGCTGATTCCTTCAGTAATTCTTTTGTTATATTATGATAACAAAGTAATTCTTTATGTTATATTATATATAAAGAATATATATATTCTTTTGTTATATTAAAAACACGTTGCCAGGCACAGTGGCACACACCTGTAATCCCAATGGCTCAGCAAGCTGAGGAAGGAAGATTGCAAGTTCAAAGCCAGCCTCAGCAAGGTAGGGAGGCCCTAAGCAACTCAGGAAGACCGTCTCTAAATAAAATACAAAAAAGGAATGGGGATGTGGCTCAGTGGTTAAGTACCCCTGAGTTCAATCCCTGGTACCAAAACAAAAAACAAAAACAATAAAAAAAGAAAAAAAAAACATGTTGCTTTGTGGATGGAGACAAGTATGTGTAAACTTTGTTGTAACTGGATTGAGTTTTTTTGGGCTAGACTCAAAGCTTTGTGGACCCCTGCTTAGCAACTACAGCTCTCATTAGGCCTAGCACTGAGTTGGGAAAATGATAGGCACCTAATTTGTGCCTACTGATTGTTAGTTTGGCTAACAACACTTAACCCGCTCCTAGCCATGCTCAATTGCTGGCCAAGTCCATTGTCAGGCTGGAGGACTGGGCAAGCAATAAGCCTGGATTATTCAAATCCTAACCTTCCTACCCCTTTCACTGACATCATGACCCACCATCTCTCAGCAGAGTCCAAGTGATTTGAGGGCTCAGACCCCCGTGTCACTGTTGCTCCCTGAGCTTCTTGGGCATGTTCACACCACCAGAAGGCTCGAGAACAGAGTCTCTCGATAGGGAACAAGAAATTCCCAGGAGCTTCTCAAATCAGTCTCGCACACTCAGCCTCTGCTCAGGGGAGACTCAGGGTGTCCTTTCCTATCGCCAGCTCAGGGCTCACAGTTCTGGCAACGCCGTGGCCACAGGCCCCGGAGCGCCAGGGGGCAGCCTCAGGAGAAAGGTCTGCAAAGAGCCGGGCCGGGGAAAGCCTATCTTTTCGCTGAGCAACCGCCAGGTGCCACCCTCGATGGCGTACAACAGCGTGACCACGCGGTTGACAGTATAGACGGTGTCGCCGCGCACTACCGCAGTGAAAAGTGCTCCCTTGCTGTTGACAAACTGGCCAGGTAGCTCCGTCCACTGGCCCGTGGTCAAGTTGAGGCAGTCGATGGCGCAGTGCAGGAAGTCGTCGGAAGGTCCATTGCGCACCACGTAGAGACTGTCACGATGGGCCACCATGAAGTGGCCGTAGCTCTGCGGATGCCGCAACTCGGCCACTGGCAGCCACGCGTCAGTCCGCGCCGCATACTCCACAACTGCGGTGATGTCTGCCGGCCGCCACAGGCACACGAAGAGGCGGCCACGCGCTTGGGCGCAGGGCACCCCTGTGGCCGGCTGTGGCAGGTCAGCCATGAAGCTCCAGCAGCCAGTGGCCGGGTCGTAGCATTCCACCGAGCTTATGGTCATCCTCTGGAACTCGCCTCCGATGGCGTAGAGGCGGCCGTCGAAGCCCACCAGTGCCGTGTCATAGCGTGGCTGGTGTGGGCTGGGGAACTTGCGCCACGTGCCTCCGTCGGGGTCGTAGCAGAAGCCCAGCTCCACCACCTCCTTGCTGGGGCCACGCACGCCACCCACAATGTAGAGTTTGTTGCCCAGCGTGGCCACTCCTGCCAGCATTGTGCTGGCTTCCAGGGGCAGCGCGGCCAGCGTGCGCCACACGTCCTCCTCCTCGTCCAGGTAGCACATTGTGCGTGACTCATCTTCCAGGAAGCCAGGTGCAGGCGTGTGAGTGCTCAAGGCCACATAGCTGCTGGGCCGCAGGGTCGCCACGTAGGCGCGGGCCTCGGGCAGCACCAAATCGGCCGCCAGCTCGCGCTCGCCATCGCGAATGAAGAGCGCAGCGCTGTGGAACAAGTCTCTCAGGCCAAAGGCGGCGGCGGCGTCGCACAGCAACGCACAGTTGTCCGACGTGAGGCTGTGCTCCAGAAAGCGCGCCAGCTCCGGCGCCTGCAGGAAGGCGGCGCACTCCACCGCCTGCAGCAGCTCATCGTCGGCCGCCAGTGCCGGCCGCTGGCCTCGCAGCACCTCCAGCGTGGTGCGGAAGCCACCCGCGCTCAGCGCGCCCAGGCGCACCTCTGCAGCGCGAGCCTCCCGCATGCCGGAGCGGAAGAGGCCGCGGAAGAAGCCACAGTGCTCCACCAGCAGTGCCTGGTCAGCTTGGAAGAGCTGGCCTCCCACCCATACCTGAACCGGGACCTCAGGGCCCCGCGGCATGGTGAGCCAGAGGGGCAGAGGTTGCCGCTGGGGACCTGGATTCGCCGAACCACCGACTCTGGGGCTACCCCGTACTGGGAAAAAACGTCCCCCAGGGATATAAATACTTCCCTGGCTAAAGATAGTAGGCACATGTGATGTGGTGGCCCGCAGGCTGGATGGCCCCGGGCCCAGAGGGCATCAGGAGAACTGTGTGGTCACCTCCATAAGAGAAACCGTGATAAAAGTGACTATATACTGAACATCTACAGCATGCTGGACATTGCGAGGCCACTTGTAAAGATACCCCGTTTAACTCGCACCGTATCAGCTGTGTCACCTTGGTACAAAGCAAGTACCTTAACTCCTTGCTTTTCAGTTTCCTCATCTTCAGAATGGGGCTAATTAAGCGCCAGTGAGGGTACACGCCTGTAGACCCAGCTACTTGGGAGGCTGAGGCAGGAGGATGGCAATTTAGCAAAGCCCTGTAGCCAAATGAAAGATTTTTTAAAAAAGGGCCCAGTAACAGAATGCCCCTGGATTCAATCCCCAGTACCACCCCCCCGCCCCCGCAAAACACACACACACAAAAAAAAAACAGTGTAGGGGAGGCAATAATAATAATAACACCTATTTCATTGTGTAGAACAATATCTATAAAGCATTCTGAAGGAGGCTCACAGAGTTTAGGTGAGTTGTCCAAGGTCATTTAGCTAGGAAGAACCAGAACAGGGTAAATATCCAACCCACCCCATCAGCTCAGAGGGGGTGGGACAGGCAAGTTGGAGGGAGAGGCAGAAGTTGAGCAAATTGAATGGTCCAGGATTCTAATGTGTCCTGAGCTTCTGGCCCTGTATTTGGAGCTCAATCTGTTTTGTTTTTTTTTTTTTAATGTGTGTGTGTGTGTGTGTGTGTGTGTGTGTAAGCTGCAGATTGACACAATACCTTTATTTTATTTATATGTGGTACTGAGGATCGAACTCAGTGCCTGAAACGTGCTAGACAAGCACTCCACCCCTGAGTTACAACCCCAGCACCCCCCAGTCTGTTTTTGAACCTCAGCTTCCTTTTGTGTAAAATGGGAAGAATAGCAACTCTTTTTTGCAGGTGTACATCCAGTCATCCCCTACCTATGGAACTTATTTCTGACTTGGGATGGGAATAGAAGTAGATGTCTGTTCTCTACTTGCCTAACCCTTTCATTGCTGTGTGACTTGGACCTTGAGAGAAAGAAAGTGGGGGTACTGCAGACATCTTATGCCTATGGATGGAAAGAGTGGCTTCTTGGAATAATAATAGCTAACATTTAAATTGCATTTTTTTGTCAGGCACTGCAATAGCATTTATATTAACTTCTACAATCCTTGCAACAATTCTGAGTGGATACTATTTCTCCCATTTAATAGATATTATCTGCTCACTGCTTATAGCAACACTATGAACTGGATAGTATTATTAATGGCTCCATTTCATTGATGAGGAGACTGAGTCACCAAGAGGTTTAATCACATGGCCAAATCTAGGCAGACCTAGGACTGGAATGCAGTCCTTTTAACGTTAGACTGGGACCCTAACCATTGGTGCTGTGTTACAAATGCTGGGCTCTCAAGGTTCACCATTTTCATTTATAGTGGAGGACCTGGGTCACGGGGACAGGAAGTTACCCAAGGTTTGCAACTTGGAGCAGAGAGCCCCAGACCTCTTGCTGCCCAGTCTATGACACTTTTCCCAATGCACAGGACCCTCCTAGGTGATTAGCTGAGACTCTGGGGCCTAAAAAGTAAATTATCTTCTCCTATCATCTTCTTCTGTAGGTGAGCAAATGGTATCTGCCTTTTGGGGGATGTTCAGCTCGCCCACCTTCTCCTCAGGCCTCCTTTTGGAGGATGAGTAGCTTACAGTGACCATGCAGGAACTGGGAGGAGGGCAGGGGAGCTTTCCTCCGTTTAGGATACACTTATGCACAGACCCTCAGGATGAATCTTCAGACCCAAAGCAAATGTGCCTCCCCTGTTAGGGAACTAGTTTGACCCTGTCAGACTGGGACTGGGATATGGGGACCACTTGTGTGAGCCTGGGAAGCCAGAGGCCTGGAGGAGGCAGCCAGAAATATCTCAGACACTCTGCCCTAGGGACCAGACAGGAAGAAGAGGAGGAATGGGGTGGGGGTGGAGGACAGGAGTCTTCATGAATACTATCCCAGGCCCTCTGCCAGCTTCTCTCCTTCCCTGAGACCAGACTTTGGCTGAAAGGGCCTGCAAGTTCCAGGTAGCAGACATGACAATTCCTTCTTGGGGACAAGTGGGCTCTGCAGTGCTAGGTTCTTACTAGTGGCCTTAGTGGGAAGGGAGAAGGTATCTAACTGTTACCATCGCACGGAACAGGAAGGGAGGCTTAGAGATGGGAGGGGGTTTTCTTGGTTATGAAGGAGGATGTGGGACTGGACTGAACCCTGTCCACTGACCCTAGGGCCTGCTCACCAATTCAGCCCGGCTGCCACTCTTCACTGACACCGTGAGGCTCGAGGGGCAGGGCTGGGGAGGGCTGACCACCCAGGGGGTCAGGGCTGCTGCACATTCCTAGGGCCCCAATTCCCTCCCAGCTGGCCTGTTCCAGACACCTAGGAACCAGGCGCCACAAAGATGGAAGCATCGCCAGCCCTCCTGAGAGCAGGAGGCAGCAGAAGCACAGACCCCTGGTTGAAGTTTGCTCTCTGCTTGATTTTCCCCCAGTCCAGCCTCCTTGAGTGGGTTGGGGCTCATGCACACACCCAGTGTCCAAGTTCAGCAGCCAGACAGTGGGGAGGGGTGACCCAAACTAGGGGTTATGGTTCTGAGGCTGGGCTGTGGATCAGCAGTTTGGGCCCACCCCCGAGGCCCTATCGGGTGCTGCCTACAGCTGAGGAGAGTTTCCACCTCCCAGACTCGGAACATCCCTCTGGGATTTAGAGAGGACAAGGAACCATCCTGGCTGTGGGCAGCCCACAGAGTTCCCAGGCTCTGCCCGACCCCACACTAACCTCCTCTCCACTGTGCACCCCCGCACTGTGCAAGGCTGGGGGTAGGGACAAGGAAAGGAGTCTGCAGCAGACTTTGAGCCTTTCTAGAACACAGACTCGGCCTTGTTCATCTCTGTTCACATGATTGGCACACAGTAGGGGTCTGTTAAGTGGAATCCCAGGCCCTAACCTAAGACAGTCCCCACCCAGTCTGTTTGGGAAGTCACAGCCCCTGTTCCAGGGGGACCCTCAGTCTGATGGGGGAGACATAGCTCTTGCCCTGGGAGACAGCCCCCACCCCACCTCCAGGCTGATGGAGAAGTTTCTTCATACAGGGAAGCCAGTAGCTTGCATTGCCTGAACTGGGAGTCAGGATTCTGGCCTGTGCTTTGATGCTGTACTGCACTGACTTGCAAGAGCTACCCATCCCCTCCAGGCAAGTTCTTCATCTTAGACGGAGTTTGGATCTGATTTCAAAGGTTCTGTTCAAAACAACCCAATCAACAAATGGGCCAAGGACCTGAACAGACACTTCTCAGAGGAGGACATACAGTCAATCAACAAGTACATGAAAAAATGCTCACCATCTCTAGCAGTCAGAGAAATGCAAATCAAAACCACCCTAAGATACCATCTCACTCCAGTAAGATTGGCAGCCATTATGAAGTCAAACAACAACAAGTGCTGGCGAGGATGTGGGGAAAAGGGTACACTTGTACATTGCTGGTGGGACTGCAAATTGGTGCGGCCAATTTGGAAAGCAGTATGGAGATTTCTTGGAAAGCTGGGAATGGAGCCACCATTTGACCCAGCTATTCCCCTTCTCGGTCTATTCCCTAAAGACCTAAAAAGAGCATGCTACAGGGACACTGCTACATCGATGTTCATAGCAGCACAATTCACAATAGCAAGACTGTGGAACCAACCTCGATGCCCTTCAATAGACGAATGGATAAAAAAAATGTGGCATTTATACACAGTGGAGTATTACTCTGCATTAAAAAATGACAAAATCATAGAATTTGCAGGGAAATGGATGGCATTAGAGCAGATTATGCTAAGTGAAGCTAGCCAATCCCTAAAAAACAAATGCCAAATGTCTTCTTTGATATAAGGAGAGTAACTAAGAACAGAGTAGGGACGAAGCGCATGAGAAGAAGATTAACATTAAACAGGGATGAGAGGTGGGAGGGAAAGGGAGAGAGAAGGGAAATTGCATGGAAATGGAAGGAGACCCTCAGGGTTATACAGTAGAGGGGGTAGAGAGAGAAGAGGGGAGGGGAGGGGAGAGGAGGGGAGGGGGGGATAGTAGAGGATAGGAAAGGCAGCAGAACACAACAGACACTAGTATGGCAATATGTAAATCAATGGATGTGTAACTGATGTAATTCTGCAATCTGTATATGGGGTAAAAATGGGAGTTCATAACCCACTTGAATCAAAGTGTGAAATATGATATATCAAGAAATTTGTAATGTTTTGAACAACCAACAATAAAAAATTAAAAAAAAAAAAGGTTCTGTTCAGCTTGGACATCTGAGTTTGACCTCAAACATGTTGTTTCTCCAGGAAGAGTAGTGACATCACAGAGGGCTTCCAAAAGCTTAGCTTTAGGTGGAATGGTTCCTGGGGGTTAGTGGCCTGAAGCCATCTAGGACGTGGCATCAAGAAACCTTCACGTGGTTTCTTCATGCCTACACCTCTACATGCCCCACTTGTTCACTCCAGGGACATCTATTGAGTATCTGCTTCGTGCCCACTACTGGGAACTGTGCATAGCTTCAGTATATTGGGTGCCTGAGGGTCATCTATGAGACCCATGGTAGGGGTGGGGTCAGGAGAGTTGGGATACTTGTCCAACAGAATAACCTCTCGTGATTTTTTTTTTTTTTTTTTTTTGTGTGTGTGTGTACCAGGAATTTAGCCCAGGGGCACTTAACCACTGGGCCACATACCCAGCCCTTTCAAAAAATTTATTTAGAGGGGCTGGGGTTGTGGCTCAGTGGTCGCGTGCTCACCTAGCATGCATGAGGCATTGGGTTCAATTCTTAGCACCACATAAAAATAAACACAATAAAGTCCATCAATAACTTAAAAAATATTAATTTAAAAAAAATTTTATTTAGAGACAGGATCTCACTGAGCTGCTTAGAGTCTCCCTAAGTTGCTGAAGCTGGCTTTGAATTTTCGATCCTCGTGCCTCAGCCTCCTGAGCCACTGGGATTACAGGCCTGAGCCACAGCACCTGGCATAACCACTCTCTTGAGCTGAAGTGTCCACGTTTCTACTAACTACACTGCCCACTGACTTCTTGGCAGGTGAACCAGGAGTGTGTGCTGTTCAGGAAGGTAGAGAAGAGGCAACTATCAGTTGCTTCTTTGGGCCATTGGCGAAGCTCTGGGTGGGGTGTTTCATATTACCTCACCTAACCCTTAATACCAGTATTTTAAAGCTGAGAAACTGAGGCATGGAAAAGCAAAGCAGCTTATTCTAGGGCCTGATGGTAATTGGACTTATTCCTGAGATCTTTCCAGTCCACAGTGGGTACTCTGGGTGCCGGACAAGCAGCCTACAGAAGAGGAGGCTGAGAGTAGAGAAAGGATCCGGGCACTCTACTCCCAAGCCTCAGACTTTGAGCCCTCAGCTGTGACAGCTGACAGCCTGAGTAACTGACTAGCAACCAGCTCAATCTCTAAACTAAAATGGAATTAAGAATCATCTCAGCCCATTGTGAAAGTCAGGCTGGAATCTCCTCTACAAAATCTCCTTGAAGTGTTCATCCCCTTGGTTGTTCTCAAGGTCAGGGGGTTCACTTCATCCAAGGACAGTCCCACATGGTTAGAATTCACCCTCATACTGAGCTAGAATCTGCCTCCTTGCAACTCCCATCTCCTGGTTGGTCTGAATTTTATTTATTTATTTATTTATTTATTTAATATTTATTTTTTAGTTCTCGGCGGACACAACATCTTTGTTTGTATGTGGTGCTGAGGATCGAACCCGGGCCGCACGCATGCCAGGCGAGCGCGCTACCGCTTGAGCCACATCCCCAGCCCCTGGTCTGAATTTTAAAGAGGAAGAAACTGAGAACAGAAAGACATTAAATCATTCCTGCCCCAGTCCCAGCTGGGGAGTAGCAGAGTTCGTTTGCAGGGCCTGTGTGGATCCACAGTTTACTTTCTCCCCAGCAGCCCTCCAGGAAGATTGGTTTTCTCGCCACAGACTCCTTCTGGATCCAGTCTCTTCACAGGACTGTGGCCAGCCCAGGGATGAGGCTGGAACTTGGCTCCCACATTCTCAACTCCTACAACTAAAAGGAAAACCCTTGGTCATTAGCTGTGCTAGCATTTCTGGCCTCAGGGTGTAATCTAAACAAATTCCTCCCTGTACCTTAGAGTCGTAATAACACAGCTGTTTTATTGTGGTCTCCCCCAAACACAGGCTGAGCCAATATTCATGTCCTATACAGGAAAACTGTTTTCCTTCTTGGTTGGAGAGAAGTCATTCCCATCCTGCTCTGACCCAGGACCCTCTGCTGCTGACCTGGGTTTCTATGGTTTCTTTTGTGGATGGGTGGGTAGATTGGCTAACCATCTGGGGGAAGGAGAAGGGAACTGGTTGTAGTTAGGTTCCCATACCCTTCCCAACTCTACCCTGGAGTGTATTCCAAAAGACAATCTCCACAGCCTTCTAGAACATACTCAGATCTGGAGCCCAGGTCCAACTCTATCAGTCTTTATTAGATGAGTGACATCATAGAATTTTAGATTTCTTTTCCCTTCCTCTAGTATTCATAGCTGGGAACACTGAAGCTCAAAAAAAGTAAAGTGATGGTGTAGCCTGTAATCCCAGCAGTTGGGAGGCTGAGGCAGGAGGATCCTGAGTTCAAAGCCAGCCTCAGCAACTTAGAGAGTCCCTAAGCAACTAAGCAAGACCCTGTCTCAAAATAAAAAAGGGGCTGGGGATGTGGCTTCATGGTTAAGCACCCCTGGGTTCAATCTCCCCCTACTTAAAAAAAAAAAAAAAGACTTGTCCAAGGTCATGGGAAGGAGCTGGCCCTAGATCCTGTCTATATTCTTGGTATGGGCCATTTTCTCCAGCAAGATCAGGTTTACCCTGAGATCCAAGGGAAATGACCAGGTGACTCCTGCCAAGCTCACCAATTTCAGAACTGTAGGCAAGAGGGGTGCCAGGTTTTAGAACAAATGCCCCATTTACACCACAGACCACAAACACATGCAACTCATTAGGTCCCATAAGGAAGAAACAGTAAGGCTGGATGAATCCAGTTTCTTGAAGTTGAAAACATAGTGGTCATGAAGTCTTACTGAGGGACTCTCTCCCCCTGAGTTCTGCAGTGATGCCACTTAGAACCCCGACACAGAAGAGCAGGTTGCAGAAGTAGAGCGCCAAGGCTGAGCCCACTAACCTAAAGAAACGGCAAGACCGGGAGGCTTCTTGGAGGCGGCGGCGGGGATACCCCGGTGGAACAAAGGAAAGGGTGGATTTCCTAGCTGGTGCAAAGAAGTGGAGGTTTGGGAAAGTCTTTCTCTCTATCCCTCTGCCCGAGAATCTCTCTCTCCGATCGATCCTCCGCGGCGGGGCCTGGGGCCTCCCGGGTCCTCAAGGCGGAGCCGGTCGGTGGGGGCGCGGGCGGCCGGGCGCGCGCGGAGAGGGCGAGCGCGCCCCGCGGGGGGCTCCCGCAGCCCTTAAAAGGAGTTCGTCGCAGTTCGGCGGCCCCGCCCGCCGGCTCTAGGGCCCCTCCTCCGGCCGGGTCTCGCCGGGCCGCGGGAACTCTGCCGCCGGCGCTCGGCTCGGGTCCCGCGCGCGGTACCGACGCGTCCGCCCCAGGGTGCCAGGACTGCGGCTCCCGGGGGCCCCGACGGGCGGGAGCGCTCTTCGGGACCCGTCGGCCCAAGACACGTGTCGCACTCACCAGTGTCGCCATGTCCTCGGTGTTTGGAAAGCCCCGTGCGGGCAGCGGGCTGCAGATCGCGCCCCTCGAGGTCAACCTGGCCATCCTGGGGCACCGCGGGGCGGGCAAGTCCGGTGAGTGGCGCGGGATTGGGGAGCGGAGGGACGGGGAACGTGCGGTGGGAACGGGGCGCTGTGGACTTGTGGGCTTCTTTTCCCAGGAGGGTTGCGTGAGACCTTGTGCTTTCCTTCATCAGGGAATATTAAGGCCACAGTTAAAAGTTCAAAGAGGGCCCCTTGGGCTGGAGGCCAGCATCCAACAGGTCCCTTTGCTGACACTCATCAAGATATCTCTGGATATCAGGATTTCCCCACTCCACACCCCAGTTCCTGGGGATTCCTGGACAAACTGCATATTCTTATCAAACCAGACCCCTCTATTAACTTTCTGGAAATACATTGGACTGTGGTCCTCTGTGCCTGGGACTTGTTGATGAACCAAGGTCTTGGGCTTCTACTAAGATAATTTCTGTCACCACTGAACTCTGCCTTCACCACTCTGGCATTTGTCGCCATAGGCAGAGAAACCTCAGAAAAAGGGTTTGCCCCTTTGCCTGCCATTTTAAGTCCCAGGCAGCTGAAAGTGGAGGGCAGAGGAGGGCTTCTCCACTGGCCGTTTGTCCAGTTAGAGCCATTAGTGAACGGCCAACAAGAGCTTAGTAAGCTGTAGGCTCCCCACTCTCCAGGGTGTTCTTTGAGACTCACTGAGGGTGTTACTTTCTGATTTTGAAGCCAGCCCCTCTGACTTAAAGAGGGGACTCGGAATCTGGTCACGCAACCAGAAAGATTTGCCTTTGCCCCTTTGAACATTATTCTGGAACTCTGTCACTGGTACAGTTTAGCCAGAACTACATGAATGAAGGAATTTACATTTTAAAATATGTATCCCCTGGGTATTAGTTTCCAAATGGACACTGGTAGGAATCCTAGGAAAGAATTTTAAGGATTTTCTCAACAATATCACATTACTTTTTAAGAGCCCAGTGTAATAAATAGTTGGCCAACCCCTGCCTTTATGTGGCTAAACTCTGAGCAAAATCAGAAGCCTCTTGATGCACCCCACCTGGGAGAACTTCGTGCTAGAGCTTTACATTCTGCGGAGATACCCATGAGGGGTGTGGAGGCCAAAGAGAGAGCCAGGATCTGAGATGTGGAGGATGGGCACTAGAGTGTTAGCTCAGGACAGGGATCTTGCCAGGCCCTGGGGACTTCATACCCTCCCAGGAATGGCTCACTGCTCAACTCTGCTCTTACTGTCTCTTTGGCTTGCAGCCAAAGCTGAAATAAATGCCCCAGCTTCAGAATCTGTGTGACTTGTCCAGGGTGGGGAACATGTCCCTTCTTCTGGGGTCTCACCAGGCTGACCCTACAGTAGCTGATTGCAAGGGTCCTGATCCCTGAGTTAGGGTCTACACAAAAATTCCTAAGCCTTGCCTCTCATTGTTTTTCTTGCCATTAAAACAAAACAAAACTCAGGGTGCACCTAGTGGAACTTGGCACCCCCTATTTCTATGTTTTTCTGAGCTTCTCAAACCAACTCCTCAGCTCTCCAGTGTGGTTCCCCACAAAAACTTAGCTTGGTGTCAGCCAGGGGTCACAGAAGTTTAGATAAGGCCTCCTTAAGAAGGGCAGCTTCCAGGGACCCACAGCCAGGCACTGCAGGCGAGACTGAGGCCACCTTTTTCTGCTTCTTGCAGCCCTGACCGTGAAGTTTCTGACCAAGAGGTTTATCAGTGAATATGACCCCAACTTGGGTAAGAAACCACTCTTTCCTAGACCTCTGGCTGCTTGTGCCCCACCTGGAGCACTCCCCTGGGACCTACCCCGTGGGTGGGCCCTGACGGGTACTGCATACCTGGGGGCAGAAGGGAGGAGTCACCAGGATCACCCACCCCATGGAGGGAAATGTTTTAAGTGTAAGACATACCCCTTCCACAGCCCACCCTAGACAACTTGGGGGTTGACCCAATTCAGAGAATTGTGAGAAACTGACTTGCCCAAAATTTTGAGGTATGATGAAAGCTGAAAAAAAAAAAAAAAAACAGACATAGGAAGATATCCACATACAAAAAGATATTGTTCTTTAAGATGATCACTCGGTGTTCTTTTCCAGAAAAGCTGAACTACATGAAAACTTCTCTAGTGATGCTGGCTTCTGAACCAATTTTTTGGAACCACATGAGTAAACCAGCCTTGCTTTTTTAGCTGTATCATAGCATACTGAAAAAGAGGATGTATTGATGCCCATCAGAGCTGGGTTTGAATCCTGGCTCTGCCACTTATTAGCTGTGCAATTTTGAGGAAGTCACTTAACCTTTCTGGGCTCCTGTTTCCCATCTAAAATGGGCATCAAATACCTATCTCAGAGAATTACTATGAGGATTAAAGAAATAACGCATGTAAAAGATCTGGCCTAGAACTTGAGCCGAAGTAGATTCTCAATGTATGTCCGCTCTTCCTTCTTCCTCAATGGCTTCCCATGCATGGCATCTGAGATTCCCTCAAATGAATCATACCAGTGTTTCTGAAAATTATTTTTAGCAGTAGGACCTTTCTCTAAAATAATCTCTTACATGGAACCCTAATACCCAAGACAAATAAAAGCAGAATTTTGTTAGTATCAATGTGATTTTTTTTAAAGAGAGAGAGAGAGAGAATTTTTTTAAATATTTATTTTTTAGTTATTGGCGGACACAACATCTTTGTTTGTATGTGGTGCTGAGGATCGAACCCAGGCCGCACGCATGCCAGGCAAACGCGCTACTGCTTGAGCCACATCCCCAGCCCAGTATCAATGTAATTTAAAGCTCACATTTATAACATTGTTATTATGAATGTCCACTGACACAGTGGGGTGTCTGAATGACCTTAGCATTTTGAAAATGGGTGTTGGATTATTTCCCCATTCACAAAGATTGAATAAAGCATTGGTGGGACTCCCAGGGGCTCTCAGAGGAAACCCAGGGCTCTGTGACACAGGTTGAAAACGCCTACAATGCAGCACTGCCCACAGCCTGCCCTGATGGCTGGCTGGAGGAAAGAGCTCCTGAATCCATTGGTGCCCATCAGCCCCTCAATTCAGCAGAACTAGGGTACAGAGGAGACCCAGTGCCAGAGCAGGGGGAGTCCTCAGAGCCACTTAGTCATCAGGTTTAATTTTTTTTTCTTTTTTTAAATTGTTTTAGTTAGTTACACATGACAATACAGTGATCTTGACATATCATACATTTGAATCAGTTTTTTTTTTCTTAAAGAAAAGAATCCCTTCTTCCAAAGAGATCTTAGAATGGTAGTCGTCAACAGGGAACGTGGAGGGCTTCCCTGGGTAAGTCAGGGGGTGGGACAGGTGGTGAGTTGACAGTCCTCCAGGGGTTTGTTCCTCACAGTTGTTCCTTAGCACAGTTCCTTGGTGCTGCACCGGAGGGAACAGGTCGAGGAGCCAAGTTCACATGGAGAGGCTGAGGGGAGCCCCTTAGATCAGCAGAGGCCAACCCCTGAGAGAGCAGGACGCAGGGGGTAGCGGTGTGCTGGCCGGGGCTGTGCTGAGTGTGGCAGGGTGGGAGGCAGGAAGGAAGAGCACAGGAGCAGGCTGGCCATCCGGGAGGGACCCAGCAATTCCCAAGGGCAGTGCCTCAAAAGACTTTCTGCTTAGTTCATCTGGCGCCTGGGTCATGCTTACACCAAAAATCACTCCTTGTGTATCTGAAATTCAAAGTTAACCACATATCCTGGATTTTTTCTGGCCACCCACTTCCAGTGTCCCTCCTTCCCTGCCCCCAATCCATTCTTTCACACAGGTCCCACCAGATGAGCCCATTACAGAGCTGCTTTGAGCTTCCTGATTGAGTAATTGTGGAATTCTGACCTATCGGTGGGATGTGTGGTCACACTGTCTGAGGGGGGGACAGCAGTCCCGCAGTGGTTAGTCACCTTGGCCTTTAGTCTCTTGCTTTGCCGAGACAGTCTCTGCTCACACACGCTGGAGGCCACTACCATTCCTCAGAGGATCCGTCCTGTTGCTGGAACAGCCTACACATTCCAGCCACTGTCCCATTTGCTGGTTTCAAAATATTTTCCCTTCATTTATAGTAATGACAACTTTTTAAAAAGCACCAAAGAAACTAGGGGACCAGAGCCTTTCCTCCTGTGGAGAAAGTTCTGGATGTTCAGGGCAGAGCGAGTGTCAGGAAGATGTTGCTAGAACAACTCCTCAGCTTCCTCTAGGGTGTCCTGAAAGCGTGATCACATTTGGGAGCCTCTTGAGGGAGAGGCTTGTGCTCAGTTCCAGCACAGTACTAGGCACAACATAGTGCTCTTCGCTGTGATTTTGTTTTTGGATTACCAAAAACAAAGAAGAGAAGAACTCCTACAAATGTCATCCCCATTGTATAGGTTGAGAAACTGAGGCAGGCAGGGCTCAATAATTTGCATAGGATCAGGAGACCCCCCTCCTCAGGTCTTCACTAAGGACAGCCTTCTGCTATAGAGGGCTCAGAGCCAGAGGTCTATGTGGCACTGGTCTCTCTGAGCCTCAGTTTCCCCATCTAGAAGATGGGACTAATAAACTGGGCTCTGTCTGTGTTAGAATCATGCTTTGTGACAGGCTGTCACTCTTACAGCCAGTAGGAACTGAAGATTTAGTGCCTATGCTGACCCTCGAGTAGGGAGCCAGTATCTCCAGGGAAGGTTCTCCTCTCCCAGAAAGGCTGGGGCATCTCACCTGGCTTAGCCAGGGGACAGTGCCTGCTTGTCATCCCATCTTTGCCTTCATCCTGTTCCAGCAAGGACATAGTTATCATTTCTGAAGCAGCACCCTATGCACACTCTGACCAGAACTTCTTTGGTGCTTTTTAAAAAGTTGTCATTACTATAAATGAAGGGAAAATATTTTGGGAAAGGACTCTTCTCTCAGCACTGAAGTCCACAGAATATTAATTAGCACCTGTATTTAGGGAACCAGAGTGCCCCAAGTCAGGGAAGACTACGTTACTGTGAATGGGTAAGGATCCTCACAACCCCGCCTCTGAGGCCAGTCACCTCCCCGTAAAGGGGATGCTGGACAAGATGCCCTCTGAGGGCATGTCTTTCTACAATAAAGATACAGCTAACTCAAAAGGCTGTTGGAGTTGGGGGCAGAGAATGGCCAAGTTTCAGCTAACACCGTTTACTGGGCTGGGCAGGATACTATGCCTGTTTGGAGGGAGTCCCTAAAAGGGGCGCATTGGACAACGTTGGCAGGAAAATAAAGATAAATCTGAGCAAGATGTAGGCATCTAGGGACAGCTCTTCTTGGGCCAAATATAGTTAAACATTTGGGGCATATTTTCCATTCGATTTTTTTTTTTTTTTTTTTTTTGCATAAGAACAGCTATTTATCCAAGTCCCCAAAGCAGGCTGGGGACGAGGAGCTGTCTGTGATTCATGCTGGATGCTGGTGGACCTGGATTGTGTCCAGGCCTGCTCGGCTGCCAGCAGCCCTCAGAGAGAAGTGTTTGACTGCATTCATCCAGGGCTGGGGTGCTGTTCTCACAGAGACTGCTGCCGGGAAGGCAGAAAGCAGCCCAGTTCTACCCAGAGGGGGCTTGGGGTGACATGCCACAGGGGCATCCAGGGAAAGGTGGGAACCTAGTGCATTCACATACATGTGCCACCTGCACAGGGGAAGATTAGGAGGAGAAAGACCCATTGCTAATATGGCAATGATGTCCTCTATGCATGCGGACCACTGGCCATTTGCTGCTTTCTTAGGTTGGAGGTCATAAGAACTGAAAACAAAAAAAGTAAAAAAAAAGGAAAACTTGTGAAATCCAAATAAGGTCAGTAGTTCAGTTCATAGCACCGTTTCAATGGCAGTTTCTTGGTTTGGAAACTGTACTGTGGCGGTGTAATGTGTTAACGCTGGGAGAGGAGTACACGGGAACTCTGTAGCATTTAGCAACTTCTATGTGGGTCTAAAACTATTTTAAAAGTTCGCCTAGGAATGTGAGCCTGCTCTGTTAATTTTGGAGGTCCACAGTCCCCACTGCCCTTTCCAGGCATTTATGGCTGGCCAGGCCCCATGCCCAAGGGTCCATCAAGTCCTCACGCAGCTTTGGGAGATGGAACTATTAAATGTGCTAATGCAAGGACAAACACTTAGCACTGCGCTTGGCAAAGGGCAAAGACTTGGAAACTATTAGCAATGTTACTATATTATTCCCATTTTAAAATGAGGAAACAGCCCCCAGGAGTTGAAGTGATTTGGCCACTAAAAAGTAACTAAGATTGGCCGGATTTCAGATCTTCAACTTAAAAATCTTCTGCTGTCATGTTGACAAAGACTATTTGTAAAACCTCCTTGGAACGTCTTTTTTTTTGAATTTTTTTTTTTAAGTATATGAGGTCTCAGATATTTTTTTAAAAAATATTTATTTTTTAGTTTTCAGTGGACATAACATCTTTATTTTATTTTTATGTGGTGTTGAGGATCGAACCCAGCGCCCCGCGCATGCCAGGCAAGCGCGCTACCGCTTGAGCCACATCCCCAGCCCTCCTTGGAACTTCTAACGGAGGTCTGATGGCCCTCCCTCCATCCATGTCATGTGGGTCTCTTTTTCCTCTTCTCCCACCAGGGGCAGGAGATTGTCCTTGGGGGTTCGTACAGGCCTGATGCTGTGGTCAGAGGGGCAGAGGGTAGAGAAGCTGGGGCTAGGGGGACTGGCAGTGCAGTTCCTGAGCCTCTTCTGCCACTGGGGCTCATGGTCACACACTCAGCCCTGCTGGCTTTGTGCACAGGCACACAACACAAGCTGTCCTGGGGTATGTTATATGAGTGGCCTGATGCTCTGAGCCCTATAAGCAAAGTAGCATCTCTTTGGTGGGAGGTTCTCCTGTGTCCCCCATGAAGGTGAGAGTAGTCCCAGCTCCTCTAACCTTGTAGCCTCTTAAGGTCCCCTCAAGGCTGCACAGGGGGAAGCTGGGACATGGACCCAGTTCATTATAGAGTGGCCTGCCCTGCCTCTGATCTGCCTGACCGTCTGTGTTGCAGAGGACACCTACAGCTCTGAGGAGATTGTGGACCACCAGCCTGTCCATCTGAGAGTCATGGACACTGCAGACCCGGTAACGTTACCCTCATACCCAAGGAGGGCCAAGAATCAATGCAGCCTTCTGGGAAGTCCTGGCCTCAGAGGGGAATTTGGATCCCTTTTTAACCTCCAATTTGCTGCATGACCCTGAATGACTCCCAAGGGCCTGAATCCTTCATTTGCTACCTGAGAGGATGGGATGGAACCTGGGGGGACCTGATGATTGCTGGTATCAGCTCTGATGTCCTGTGCTATGGGGCATTTTGGTCACATATGCAGAGACTGGCGCACACCTATTTATACAGATGTCCCTGATGAGAGCCTGTGGACCCAAGTGCCTCCAACATATCCCCCTCCCAGTTTCACCCCCAACTCACCAGCACCTATTAAGATCAGATGCCAGTTACTCTCAGAAGTCAAAGGGGAAGCATGAACCTAACCCAAACCAGTGGTGCCCAGGGATAGCAGGTCCCTATAGGGGCCATGCCAGAGTCTTTGGCTTTGGGCCCAAGGGGCCAAGGTCTCCTGCTCTCTGGCTGTGTGGTGGGAGGGAGGTTCGTGAGACAATGTCTCCTTTCATGCCAAGCCAAATCCACACTCAAGTGCTCCTTTGAAAAAGGCTGTGCTGGGGAACAATATACAAAGACCTGGGAGTAGGGGGTGTGGGGCAGCTCAGGTGAAGGCCTTTACCCCCACCTTCTTGCCCCTGAGGGGGGGACTCCTCTTCTTCACCTCAGGATACCCCCAGGAACTGTGAGCGCTACCTGAACTGGGCCCACGCTTTCCTGGTAGTTTACAGCCTCGACAGCCGCCAGAGCTTTGAGGGCAGCAGCAGCTACCTGGAGCTGCTGGCCCTGCACACCAAGGAGACACAGCGCAGCTACCCCACTCTGCTGCTGGGTAACAAGCTGGACATGGCCCAGTACAGGTGAGAACGGGCAGCATGGCCCTCACTCCAGAGCCCACACTCTATATTTGTAAAGGCAGAGTGGCATCTGCAGGCATTGGTTAGCAATCCCCCTGGAAATTAGGAAAAAGGGACGCTGGGCATTGGTCTCCCAGCAGACAAGGAGAGACAGGGAAGTGTATCTGGGCCACACAGGAGCTGAGTTTCCCAGAAGTCAGGAAAGAAGCCACTCCTATCCTCCTGTGTGTGTCTCTGTGGTCTGTCTCAGCACCACCCTTTCTTGCTTCAGTCGATGTGACCTCTGGTCCCACTCCTAGCAGCTGACTGGTCATTCAGTGCCCAATTCCAGAGAGGAGATCTGATTGGCTCCTCGGGTCAGGTGTCTGCTCTGGACCAAGAAGCTTCTGCCTCACCCAAGCGCAAGCCCTGGGCTCACTCCCCCAGTTGGCTATGCTGAGGGCAGGTTCTCTCAGAGAGGCTTGGACTTGAATCAGAGGTCACAGACTGGGCCAAAGGGCAGATGACCACAGAACACTGCAGCCATATTTTGCTTGGCTGGCACAGTGTTTTAAAAGTTCTGGAACTGGAATGCTTTGAGGTGGGGCCTGCTCCCTCCAGCTCACCAGAGGCCTTGCCCCACTCCCCGTCCTTTATCTCACCCTCTTCACACATTCAAGTCACCTGCCTGGCTCTGAGGCATTGGAGACAGTGGTGCCTATACAATCCCACTGGACTCTCCACCTGCCAGGTATGGCACCTTCCTCCAGCCTTCCCACCACCTGCCCTGCTTGTGGCTGCTCTCTCCTGATTTCCCAGGCCCCAAAGGCCTGTGACTGGCGTTAGCAGGGAAGAGACCTTTTGTTCAAAATGGGTCAGATAGGCATTGGCAGGAGGGAGTTGTTTTTTCATGAATGAGGTCACAGTAAGGCCTCTTCACAGGCCACCCAGTCCTCAGACCCAGACAAATTCTTGTCTCAGGGAATGCGGAAAGTCATGTGATGTTAAAAACACCAAGGCTGTCTTTGAGGAATTGCAGAACCTGTAAGGAGGGGGTCAGAAGTCTGGATTGTGAATAGGCCAGATTTTAACATGGGGGAGAAAATTACAGACCACTGTTTTGACCCCAGTCTTTGCCAAAGGGGATTGTCTAAAAATGGTGTGGGATTTTAGCTAATATGGGGCTTGAGTGAAACAACATCGGTTCCCTAGGAACATGCTGTGACAATTCACCTCCACTTCCTTCTTTGGTCAAGGCCCAGCATTGGTAGATCAGGGCTCCCTGGCACATTGACTCTTTCAACTGAGCATTTGTCAGTGTCTCCATGATTGTCTTGCAGCTGAGAGAGAATGGGGTTTAGGGCAGTAGTTTCCAAACCACTGACAAAATGTTCACTAGGCTGCAAACAACAATTAAAGAAAAGAGTAATGTCATGTGCCTGTATCACCCCCATGTGTATATGTTTTTGAAAATTCATTATTGAAGCCCCCACAATGGCAGAGTTGTAGACTCAAACTCATCATAAAAGCAAATATATCCAGTTCTCTTTCAAAAGGGGATCCTCAGGAAGCAGTGAGCGCACAGACAGAACACCAGCCCCAGGTGGGAAGTGATTAGATATTCTGCCCCTGACCCTTTTGGTCCCAGTCACTCTCTCTCTCTCTCTGATGCTCCCACCCACTATAAAACAGTATGCTGGGCAACTAGCCTAACTCCTGCCAAACTAGTCTCGTCCCACCACTACGCACCCTAGTGTTTCCTCTCATCTCACGGGCTTGCCATTGTCCTCAGGAGTGCTGGGTGGGACCTTCAGCAGTGCCCAGCAGTCAGGTGGTGGTCAGAAGGATCCAGCCAGGGGAACCTTGGCCTCAGCCTTCAGGGACCTCCACCACTTCTCTCTCTCCACCTCACCTACCCAAAAGCCCATTTTTTTTTTCACCCCAGTTCCCCACAGTTTTCAGGTCAGAAGCTTCCAGGACCTTCCCAGTTTCAGATATCTATCCTGTCACCTCAGGAGGCGGTGTCAGACCCAGCTGGAGTAGGGGTTGTTCCTCCTTCCTGTTTCCCTCTGCTAACCACAAAATGTCATCACCCTTGCTCTCTCTGACTCTCTACCCAGGCAGGCAGACAAAACTCCCCATGAACCCTGAAAGCTATGCCCTGGGTCACTTCTGTGGCCCATTTCCTGACCAAGGGACCCACTTTGGGATAGAGGAGAGATGGGACTGAGAATGGTCTTCTTATTCTGGCCATTGACAGGTCTAGCAGCCTCTTACACTCCTGCTCCTTCCTGAATTCTGGCTTTGGCAACATTAGCTAGCATTTATGGAGCACTCTCTCTGTGCCAGGATTGTTATGCACTTGACACTAATTATATTTCTTAATTCTAATACCCCGAGAGGCAAATGATGTCATCCCATTGTACCGATGAGCAAACAGAGACTCAGAGTGATGAAGATGGGCAGAGGCGCCCAGCCAGAGGGTGGGAAGCTGGGCACAGGCCCCACTCTGCCTGACTCGGAGCAGCACGTTCCTGACTCCCTGCCTCGCCCTGCTTTCTCACCAGGCAGGTCACCAAGGCCGAGGGTGCGGCCTTGGCTAGCAGGTTCGGGTGCCTGTTTTTCGAGGTGTCTGCTTGCCTGGACTTTGAGCACGTGCAGCACGTCTTCCACGAGGCAGTGCGAGAGGTGCGGCGGGAGCTGGAGAAGAGCCCCTTGGCCCGGCCCCTCTTCATCTCTGAGGAGAGGGCCCCTCCCCACCAGGCCTCACTTGCCACCCGGCACGGGCTGGCCAGCTGCACCTTCAACACTCTCTCCACTGTCAGCCTGAAGGAGATGCCCACCGTGGCCCAGGCCAAGCTGGTCACTGTGAAGTCATCCCGTGCCCAGAGCAAGCGCAAAGCTCCAACTCTGACCCTGCTGAAGGGCTTCAAGATCTTTTGAGAGCCCTCCTCAGGAGCCCTGGCTTGACTGCTGGGCAGAGCTGCAGAATAGGGGCTGGTTTGTCACCACCAGTTTTTCCTCTGATGGACCTCACCCTCTGGTGGAAAGCTGGCCCCACCTCCAGCACCAAGCAGTGACCCTACATTCAGTTCATTGTGTGAGCCAGAGGGACAGGCAGGGATGCTGTTCCTGTTCCTGTCAGACCTCGGTTCTCATGGTAACCACTACACCTGTGACCCTGGAGGGAAAGAGCTACTGCGACAGCTCAGAAACCTGGGGTCAGCCTTGAGCAGGAAGAAACTGAAGTGTCCATCCTGCTGCCAGGATCCCTGCCTGCCAACTGTGGACCCTAGTGGATGGACAGCTCTGAGAGGCCCTGTCCCCGTGAAGGCAGTAGAGATGGCCCTGAAGGCCTAGCACCACCTAGTGGAGGGGAATGGAAGAGCGGCTGCTCAGAGGCCAGAACCTGGTCCTCCCACTGTCATCTTCTGACCTCATAGAAGCCCCAAGCAGCAAATTCTACAGTTTTTCCTGAAGAAAATTTAGTTAAAATAATTCTATTATTTTATCTGTTATATTATCTGGAATCAGGATACTCCCTGGGATCCCACTGTTAGCAAGAAAAGGCTCTCAGCTTGGACAGGGAAAAGTCCCAGGCAAAGGTATTTCCAGCACTTTGCCTCTCCATGCGGGTAAAAGGGAGGGGGCTGTGGGTTGCCCTGGGTAGGAAGACTCTAGCTCTCTCTCTTTTTTTTTTAACCAACATCAGGGTCTTCTTGTACCTCCTTTGTTAAAGACAGTGTCCACAGACCCTCATGACCAGCCTCCTCAAGTTGAATGACCAAGGCTGCAGGATAGATTTGTTCTCTCTAGTGACAGTTCCCCAGAGCCCCAGGGAGCCCACAGCCGGTGGGATCAGATGCCACCTGGCGGATACTCATGGGTAGAAACAGTATACATGTCTGTAGCCTGGCTTGGCAGGACCCAGGATTCCTAGCAGTGGGTCGGAGACAAAACCTAGATAATTTGGGGTTAATAAAGCAGACTTTTGCATAAATTATTTGGTGTTACCACTGAGCTTATGGCTCAGATCTGGAATCAGGATACTCTCTGAGATCCCACTGTTAGCAAGAAAAGGCTCTCAGAGGCAGGGAGTGCAATCGTTTCCTAACTGTTTACCATGAACCCTCAGCAGATAAGCAGGTACAGGAGAGGGCTCTGGTGGATAGAAGGGCCAACAAGGGAATTCTGACCCTGAAATCCTGCTCCTTCCCCTCTTAATCAGCAGTCCCAGGAGCTTGGATTGGAAACATCTCTAACATAGTTTTCAGCCCCACTCCAAAAAACGGAGAAGCTGAGGTTAGGGGGAGCCCACGAACTATTCAAGACTGCATACTGAGGGTCCTGGCCAGGGTTTCTGACCCACAGGCTGGCTGGGATTGTACACTTTACTCCAAGCCACTGTGTGTTTGTGGACCACCATTGTTTGAACAAACTATGCAATTCCAGCTGCCCACTCCCAGAAGCCTTTTAATAAAAGATTGTTTAAATAACAAATTTTAATTTGATTGAAGCTCACTCATTGAATCTGCTAATGAAAACATTAGGCTGCGGGGGGTGGGGTGGACTAAAACCAGAGACGTTCCAGGCCATGAGGTGAGCTCAGGTTGGGATCCCGAGCCTGGGAGGGGGATGACACATGCTCTGAGCACTCACTGGATCTCAGTTTCTGATGGATCTGGAAGGAGGACCGTTGAGACATCTTTCTCTTTTAACTCAGGTCCCACCTGGGCCAAGTTTGGATTTCCTGAGAGCAGCATCTCTGTTAGGTTATTTAGGCTGTTGTTTTCTTTGGTTTTGGACTCATCCAAATGCAGGGCTTCTGGTGTTACCTTTTCTTGTGGCTGCATCTTTCGATTTCTGAGAGGAGAGGAAAGAGTATTGATCAGGGATGCTGAGGGAGTGGAGCAGGCCTGGCTCTCCCGAGTGGGTTAGAGAGTTTGAGGAGGAAATCCAGTGTATAGTCTGGGAGCCATTTGAGAAGAGTGGCCATGGTTTGATGTCCCTTCAATAAACAGCTTATACTTGCGTGTGCCTCACTTCATCAAATCCTTTACTGCCACTTGTGAGCCCAGCATTATTACCATCCCCCCTTACAGATGAGGAAATGTGGCTTACAGAGGTCAAAGAAGGCCAGGTGTGTGGTGCAAGCCTGTAATCCCAGCAGCTCAGAAGGCTGAGACAGGAGGATTGTGAGTTCAAAGCCAGCCTCAGCAACTTAGCGAGGCCCTAAGTTGTGGACCACCACTGTTTGAACAAACTATGCAATTCCAGCTGCCCACTCCCAGAAGCCTTTTAATAAAAGATTGTTTAAATAACAAATTTTAATTTGATTGAAGCTCACTCATTGAATCTGCTAATAAAAAACATTAGGTTGCGGGGGCGGGGCGGGGGGGACTAAAACCAGAGACGTTCCAACTCAAGATCCTGCCTCAGAATTTCAAAAATATATTAAAAAGGGCTAGAGATATGGCTTAGTGGTTAAGCACCCCTGGGTTCAATCCTCTTTACAAAAAAAAAAAAGCCCAAGAAGCTCATACCTGAGTTGTATGCTTCAGTCTCCCCACTCTGAGTCCTGTTTCTCACCAAACCACACTGTACTCCCCAGGACTGTCAACTTAGTTAGTACAGGTCCTTGTCCTTCCACATCCTATCCCCTAAGATGCTGCAGGAAATTTCTATTTAACCTGTGTCTGTGTGTTTCCTTCTCCAAACCAGCCTATCCACACCACCAGTCCTGTGTATACAGCCCAGGCCCCCACACCTCACTCCCTGGCCCAACACCCTCATTGGCTTCCACCACCCACTTCCACAACCTGATATTCCTCCCACAAATCTGTCCTCTCTCCAAGTTGGTTTTACTTAAGATACCCCTAGAATGGAGGGGTCTAGCTCTGCTAAGAGCTGAGTATCCAGAGAATTCCTTGAGCCACAGAGGGTACAGGTCACTTTCTGTTGCTCCCATGGATGGCCACATTGATTCATTTGACTTGCTGAGGGGATGTTCTCTGACAGGGGAAGAGGGGCAAGGCCACCTTCTTAATGGCTACCCTCCTCTGGATCATGCCATTTGCTGGTCAGCTCCAGGGGGTGGAAGTCAAGAACAATTGCTGGGTTTTCTTTCTTTCTCTCCTCTCTCTCTCTCTCTCTCTCTCTCTTTCTTTTTTTCTTTCTTTCTGTTGTAGAGGGACACATCCCTTTATTCTATGTTTTTTTAATGTGGTGCTGTGGGTTGAACCCAGTGCCTCACACATGCTAGGCAAGTGCTCTACCACTTGCAATCGTGATCCTCCTGCCTCAGCCTCCTGAGCTACTGGGATTACAGGCCTGCACCACCACACCTGGCCTTCTTTGACCTCTTTAAGCCACATTTCCTCATCTGTAAGGGGGGATGGTAATAATGCTGGGCTCACAGGTGGCAGTAAAGGATTTGATGAAGTGAGGCACATGCAAAGTATAAGCTGTTTATGAAGGGATGTCAAATCATGGCCACTCTTCCCAACCACAACCACAGCCCAGTTGCTGGTTTCTTAACAGCTTTGTGTTCTCAAAGGACCCTGAGGCAGCATTTTGTCCAAAAAGGCAGATAGCCATGGACTCTAAATGACCCCTTCCTAGATTTCCTCTGGGAAGGCAGTGCCCCTACCTCCAGGACCACCCCAGAGCAGCTCCTCACCTGTTTGCCTGGATGCTCCTTCCCAGGAGGGCAAGGCTTATGACCACCACCACAGCCGCCAGGGCAAGGATGGAATAATTCCAAGGAGACCCTGAGGAGGGACATGCAGGACAGAGCCTTGAGGAGAGGCCAGGTGCCCCTCAGGCCCACTAACAATTGGGGCTTGGGCTCAGACCAGCTCACAGCATCGATTGTGCCCTGCTGTGGAGACCCTTGTCAAGGATGATGAGCCCTCTGCACCAGGGCAACTGCCAGTGGGCAGGGGGATGACACCATGCCTACCCTAGAGAAGCCCTGGTCTAAAGGGGGGCGGGGGCAGCAGTGCAGTTGGAGAATAGTGGGGGAAAGAGAGTCAGGGGGAAAAGAGGTAAGCCAAGACAAACTTCCTAGTCTCCCATTTTGCCTCCTGTGTACTTCAAGGAAAGAAAGAAAGAAGGAAGGGAGGGAAGGCCGGGAGAGGAAGGAGTGATGGTCAAGCTGCCTAGAGATGGTACATAAACTGGCTAATCTGAATTTGGCTACTCAAGATTTGACCACAGTGGGCTGGGATTGTGGCTCAGTGGTAGAGCTCTTGCCTGGCACTTGTGAGGCACTGAATTCCATCCTTGGCACCACATAAAAATGAATAAATAAAATAAAGGTATTATGTCCATTTACAACTAAAAAAATTAAAAATTTTTTAGAAGAATATTACTCAAAAAGAAATTGTCCACAATATCAAAATGAGGTGGGGTCTGGCCTCAGGACATTTACATGTGCTGCTCCTCTGACAGGAATGTTCTTCCCCCATATAATCTGCATGGCCAATTCCTTCCTCTTTCTCTGCTTAATTTTTCATCTTATTACACATCATCAATACGCTGTGCCTGTTAGTCATTTGCCTTGTTTATTTTCTATCCACTAGAATGCATGCTTCGCAAGGGCCGAAATTTTTCTGTTTTACTCACTACTGTAATCCTAGTGCTGAGAAGAGCACACAGTAGGAGCTTAATAAATATAGCTGTGATGACTGGGTGGCTGAGTAAATGACCACACCCTGAAAAAAAGAGGGTGAGATTCAGCCAAACCCCTCTGGGTAGCAAGACATCTGGTCTCAGTCCCTGTCCTGGAGGGAATGTGCTGACTGATGTATGGGAGGGGGCTTTGGCCAAACCCTGCTCTGTGAGTTGGGGAGTGCCACTGCCCCACCCACCAGCCAGTCCCTCACCACTTACCATCTTCTACACGAAAAACCCAAACCATTTCTTCCAGCAGTTCCTGAGGCACCACAGTGCCAGCTGGGACTCCAATAACCTCTTTACTGAGGTCCATGTTCCTTGTCCTCGTTAGGGTATGTTTCTGGCACTGAAATCCTTAGGCCCCTTAGCCACAGCTGCTCTCCTGGCCTCTCTTGGGTTCTGGTCCCTGAGCAGAGAAGCCCTGAAGCCCCTGGAAACAAAGCAGAGAGCATGACTGGATATCCCAACGCACCTTTACCTCCCTTCTAGGCAAAAACGCAGGTTTTCTCTGGCCCAGGGTTTCAGGACCAAAACAGCCTCAGTCCAGAAGCAGGTGGGACCTGGGGCCATAGAAGTAGGAATGACTCGATTCTTTATTAAAACTCATCACATGGGAGAAGAGCAGCACCAGTCTAGGAGGGAAGAGGACTGGCCCAGTGACAAGCCATGGAACCCTGGCAGAGGTTGTATGGAATCCCTGCCTCTCTAGCCTGCCCAGCATCCCCACCCACCTCTACACCCATAGCACTCCTAAGCAAACTGTCCCACCCAACGCACTTCATCTCCCATGGTAGCCAATCACAGGCCTTTGTCTCATGTGTTAAAGCTGAGGCTTGGCTCACCTGAGACCAAGAGCTGGGAAAAGAAGAGCCAGAGAAAAGCCACTACCTTACCCCAGGCCCGACTAGTGAGTGCTGCCTGCAGTTTGGCAACACCCTGAGAAATTTTTCTTTTCTTCCTTACCTTCCTTCCTTTCTTCCCTCCTTCCTTCCTTTTTTTTTGGTACTAGGAATTGAACTCAGGGGCACAGGACCACCGACCCACATCCCCAGCCATATTTTGTATTTTATTTAGAGACAGAGTCTCACTGAGTCCCTTTTCTTTGGTACTGGGGATTGAATCTAAGAGTTCTGTAACACTGAGTTATATTCCAGTTATTTTTATTTCTTAGTTTGAGACAGAGCCTAGCTAAGTTGCTGAGGCTGACCTTGAACTCAAGATTCTCCTGCCTCAGCCTCCTGAGTTGCTGGGATTATAGGTGCACTCCACAGAGTTTCACCTATACCCTGTCCTTTCTCTCTCCACCCACCTCCTTTCTTTCTTCGTCTCTCCCTCTCTCCTTTTTGCCTTCCATTCTTCCCAAGAACTGGAGCCTATGTTCCCTGGATAAATCCCTTCCTTAATTTGAGTTTATATCCATCCCTGAAAAATAAAGCAGGTTAAGCTATCTATGTTGACCAAACCTCAGACAATCTCAAAACAGTCACAAATTTTGACATATTTATGTATTACCTTACTATTACTACTTAATTAAAAATTTCTAATATCCATAAAGAAATAGTAAAATTCATTTTGACAATATATTTGGTTGAAACCAATATTTCCCAAAAAAAAGTATTAATAAGATGGATCTGCATCAAGATGGATCCAGACCTTAACAAAATGCAGACAAATTATAGAAACAAAGTGGCATCAGAAGTTTTAAAATAATAGAAGTGTATTTTGAATTATATGCTAATAAACTAGGCAACCTCAATGAAATGGATAAAATCCTAGAAAAACAAAATATCAAACCATCCAAAGCAGGAACAAAAAAGTTTACAGACCAATAAATAATAAAGAAATTAAAATGATAGTTCACGACCTCTCCAAAAGTTAATCCTAAATCTGGATGGCTTTAATCATAGGTTCTAATAAGCTTTTTTTCTTTTTTCCTTTTGTTTCTTTCTTTGTTTTTTTTTCCAGATGAGATCTTACTATGTAGCCTAGATTGACCTCCAACTAGAGATTCTCCTGCCTCAGCCTCCCTAGTAGCTGGGATTATAGGCACATACTACCACCCCCAGCTTGTCTAATAAACTTTCAATAGGCAGCTCATTCTTATTTTGAACAAGTTTTCCCACAAAATAAAAAACTAGATGAGGACAATATGAGGAGAGAGCATGATAGGCCCCATTCACCTATGAAAGTGGATGCAAAAATCCTAAATAAAATCCAAACAAATCATAAATAAAATTTAAATTCAATAATGTATTAAGAAATCATTATCAAATAAATTTAATGCCAGGAATGGAAAAACAATTTGACATTAAAGTGTATCAATGTAATTCACCATATTAATAGGCTAAATGAGAAAAAATGTGATTAACATGTCTGATAAAATCTGCTAAAGGGCTGGGCATGTAGCTCAGTGGTAGAGCCTGGGCATGTACAAGACCCTGGGTTCAATATTTAAAATTCCTACATCAGGAGTTCTTATTTAATAGACATAGTTTTAGTTTTATAAGATAAAAAGAGTTCTAGGATGGCTGGTAGTGATGGTTATTCAACAGTGTCAATGTTCGTAGTACTACAGAGCCATACACCAAAAGATGTTTAAGATAAAAAAATTTGTTATGTGAAAAAAAAAATTCTAAACCGGGTGTGGTGGCACATACCTGTAATCCCAGCAGCTCAGGAGGTTGAGGCAGGAGGGTTTCAAGTTCAAAGCCAGCCTTAGCAAAAGTGAGGCACTAAACAACTCAGTGAGACCCTGTCTCTAAATGAAAGTACAAAGTAGGGTTGGGGATGTGGCTCAGTGGTTGAGTGTCCCTGAGTTCAATATATATATATATATATATATATATATATATATATATATATATATAACATTAAGTGGGGAAACTTTAAATATATTTGCTTTAAGGCAACAGCTTACTGACTGCACTTGACCATTGGTTTAATCTAGATCTTGGGATCTTGGCAAATACTCTAATAGAGAAAAGAAAAAGAAGTGCAAAATGGATAGGAAAGAGACAAACTTGTAATTTGCAGATACAAATTATTTACCTGGAAAAACAATTAGAATGAGTAAAAGCATTCATTAGGGTTACTATATCAGTAGCATTGCTCAGATTATTAGTGGGTTGGGAATTAGATAAAAACAAGATATCATCTGCAATAGCTTCTAGGTTAACCTAGCCAAAAATATAAAATACCTGTATGATGAAAATCTTAACTTTAGAACAAGAAAAAGGTGATCTAAATAAATAACAAAAATGTCATTATCCTTGTGTCAATCAAATTCACTGCAATTCCAATCAAAATGGATTTTTGAGGACCTTGAGTAATTTGATCTAATAGTTACACAGAAAAATAAATGTCTACAAGTAACTAAGTCAATCTTGGGGGTGGGGATGAAGAGGAGAGATTAGCCCCACCAAATATGGAGACACAATAATAAAAATTGTGGTTTTAACACAAGACCAGACACTAGACTGAGGAATCAGAATAGAATTTGAGGAAGACCTATCTACACATGGGAACTTCATATACAATATCTCTATCAACTGCAGGGAAAGGAAGAATTATAGTAGGGACTTGGAGGCTGTTTTTGCAAAAAGCACTGACTCTTCACTTGGGCCTGCAGATGCCTGATGGGTAACTAAAAGTAGGACAAAAACTTGCATCTCTGCCTTTGCTTTATTTCTGTCTCCTTTGCCTTGAACTCTGGGTCAGATTCCTGTACTTAAGCATGTTAATCATTTAAGGAGCATCCACTGAAAGCTGGTAATCCTCTCCAAGAATGAAGATGTCAAGATAAGAGTAACTTTAAGTTATTTTCAACAGATTATCAACTGCCAGCTTTACGACATCCTGTCCCAGACCCCTGGAGTGGCGCCTAGAAGTCTTCAGTCATTGCCCTAAATTTATTTCCAGAAACAGTGAAGCCTTGCAAGCAGATCACCCCACGATATGACTGTCCCCTAAATAGGAGCAATCATCTCATGGGAAACAAATTGCCACCCTTTCCAGGATCACAGATCAGATAGAAACACATCACGTGAAGAAAAATGAGATTGCTCCTGAGCAGCAACCAGGCAATTTCCTAGGCATCCAAAGCAGACTCCTATCACTGCCCCCTCCGCAGCAGTAATTTTCTTAATACTGATGAGACTCAGTGCCATCAGAACTGAGATAATGATCAAACAGACCCATCTGACCAAGTCTGCTTGGCTGTGTATACTTCTTGTCCCCTTCTCTACGTAATCTTGGAGCTCATGTCAATACCCTCCAAAGACAGGACTGTAACACTTGATCTGCCTTGTCTTCCCAATGTAGTTCTACTGATCAATCCTTTCCTGCCTTTCACCATTACTCTTTCCATTTGATTTCCAGGGTGAGCTCCCCTGTGGCCTAGGTCTCTAGTAACAGAATTATTTAGTAGATAGTGTAGGGAAAACTGGCTCACCATATGGAGAAAACACCAAAGAGGTGCATGTCTAACAAACTGCACTTACAAAAAACAGACTCAAAATGAATGAAAGGCCTAAATGTTAGAGGAGTAATACAAAGTCAAGGTCAGATGTAGTAGTGGCACACAGCTATAATCCCAGCTACTTGGAAGGTTGACACAATTGCAAGTTTGAGGCCAACATGGGCAATTTAGTAAGACTCTGTTTCAAAATATAAAATAAAAAGGCTGGGAGGGGCTGGAGTTGTGTGTGGCTCAGGGGTAGAATGCTCACCTAGCACATGTGAGGCCTGGGTTCAATCCTCAGCACCACATAAAAATAAATAAATAAAATAAAGGTATTGTGTCCAACTACAATTGAAAAATAAATATTAAAAAAAAAGGGCTTGGAATATCTCAGTGGCAGATCATCCCTGGATTCAAACTCCAGTATCACAAAAACAAAACAAAAAGTTAAGAGAAGGTAAGTAGGACTTCCTAAATAAAACCATGAAAGTTCAAATCATTCAATAACAACATACATTTATGAATTTGCATCAAATGTATACAAATATTTTATTTATTTTCCTGAATAAAACTATGAAATTTCAAGCCACTCAATAACAACACACACGCATGAATGTGCATCAAAAATAAAGATACCTATTCTTGAATAAAGTAACAAAAACATTTCCATTTGGGATAAGGTACTTGCAATACTTAATACCAAGATGGGATTAATATCTAGAATACACAAAGAATTCTTGCAAATCAACAAGAAAAAATCATGAACCCCAATAGATAAACTGATGGAAGATGTAAATTGGCAATTCTCAAAGCAGGAAACTCAAAAGGCTTGGAAGCATATGAAGAAATGTTCA